AGAGCGAGAGAAGAAAAAGCGAGAGAGAAAAGAGCGAGAGAGAAAAGAGCGAGAGAGAGAGAGAGAGGAAAAGGAGGGAAGAGAGACGAAAAGAGAGAGAGAGAGAAAAAGAGAGGAAAAGAGGGAGAGAGAGAGGAAAGGAGGGAGAGGAGAGAGAGAGAGATGAGGGCGACGGAGGTCTCTTGCCCCTTCTTTCGGAGTTGGGTGATGGGAGCACATCGTGGGAACGCTCTCACACCCACCAGCCACCGCCACCACCCAGCTGCCCTCCGCCTCACCCGTCCATTCCTCCTCCATCTCGCCCTCCTCCTCCGTCATGCCCTCCTCTCCTTTTTTCTTTTCTCCCTCTACTTTTTCTACTCCGCCTTCTCCCTCTCCCTCTCTTCTTTCTCCTTCTGCTTCTCCTCCTCCGTCTCGCCCTCTTCCTCCGTCATGCCCTCCTCCTCCTTTTCTCCTTCTTCGCCCTCTACTTTTTCTACTACTCCCTTCCTTCTCCTTCTTCTTCTTCTTCTCTTCTTCTCCTTCTCCTCTCCTCCTCCTCCTCCTCCTCCTACCCTCTCCTCCTCCTCCTCCTTCTATCTCCTCCTCCCCCCTCTCCTCCTCTTCCTCTTCTCGTTTTCCTGCTTCCACTGTGCCTCCTCCTGTTTCCATCCATGCCGCCGCCCTCACACTCCTCCGCCTCCTCGAGAAAGAGCAGGAGGAAGACGAGGAGGAGGAGCCGCCCCCGCGCAACAACCTTCTCCCCTGGACGACCCCTAGTTGTGGGGTGGGGGTGGGGGTGGGGGGAAAGCATGTTTGAAGAGAAGACACACAATGTTCTTTCATTCACACACACAGAATACGTGTGTGTGTGTGTGTGTGTGTGTGTGTGTGTGTGTGTGTGTGTGTGTGTGTGTGTGTGTGTGTGTGTGTGTGTGTGTGTGTGTGTGTGTGTGTGAGTGTGTGTGTGTGTGTGGTGTGTGTGTGTGTGTGTGTGTGTGTGTGTGTGTGTGTGTGTGTGTGTGTTGTGTGTGGTGTGTGTTGTGTGTGCGTGTGGGTGTGCGTGTGGGTGTGTGCGTTGGGTGTGGTGCGTGGGTGCGTGCGTGCGTGGTGCGTGCGGTGTGGTGCGTGCGTGCGTGTGGGTGCGTGCGTGCGTGTGGCGTGCGTGCGTGTGGGTGCGTGCGTGCGTGTGGGTGGTGCTGGCGTGAGTGGACTGAGTACGCGTGTGTAGGGGGGGGGTCCCTACGTGCATACGTGTGTGTGGACAACCATCATGGCCAAGAGAGTCACAAGGGAAACAGAGTTTCCATTAGAAAAAATACACATGCATACAGCGGGGAAAAGACTGGGGAATAGTGGAAAGAGGGGGGGAGGGAGGAGAGAGAGAAGAGAAGAGAGAGAGAGAGAGGAGAGAGAGAGAGAGAGAGAGAGAGAGAGAGAGAGAGAGAGAGAGAGAGAGAGAGAGAGAGAGAGAGAAGAGAGACTAGACAATCATGAAAAACAAGGGGAAAGCAGATGAGACAACTCAGCAGCCAGTCCTGAACAGCAGCAGCAGTAGCGCTGTGTGCGGCGAAATGTCTTCTGCTCGACACAGCGTGACGGACCCTCGGCTCTCTTCAGCGCAGAATGGAAGGATAGCCAAAGGAAAATAAAGGAGAACGAAGAAAAACAGAAGGAAAAAAAAAATTGGATGTCCGATACATCACGGGGTGGAGGGAGGAGGGAGAGGGTGTGTAAGTGAAAAAGTGAGAGAGAGAGAGAGAGGGGGAGGAGGGGAGAGGGAGGGGGGGGGAGGAGAGAGAAGAGAGGGGGAGAGAGAGAGAGAGAGAGAGAGAGAGAGAGAGAGAGAGAAGAGAGAGAGAGGAGGAGAGAGAGAGAGAGAGAGAGAGAGAGAGAGAGAGAGAGAGAGAGAGAGAGAGAGAGAGAGAGAGAATGGAGGAAAAAATGAGTAGGGAAAAAATGGATGAATTGAAAGAGTGAATGGGTGTGGGTAGAGGGGGAGGGGAGGAGGAGGAGGGGGCTTTTACCTTGCAACAAAGGCTTTCCGAAGCAACCTGTTGCGCGTGAGGGAAGGATAGGACAGGAGGGAGGGAGGGAGGGAGGGAGGGAGGGAGGGAGAGAGAATTAGAGAGAAAGGAGGAAAAAAAAGTGAGAGAAGAAAAGAAGGTAGGAAAAGAAAAGGAGGGGAGGAGGATGGGAAAGGAGACAAGTGGAAGAAGGGAGTGAAAAAAAGAAAGAAGAAAAAAAAAAGGTGGGTGAAAAGAGTAGGAGAGAGAAGAGGGAAAAGTCAAGCATTTCCATATAAAAATAAAAGCAAAAGAAAAAAAAATAATGATAACTACACGGAAAAGTTTGAAGAACGGAAAAATACGAAACGGGGGAAGAATGGGAAAGGGAAAAAGAATCAGTAACTACGAATAAAAATGGAAAATAAAACATGAAAATGAAAATGAAAGAGGGGAAAATCTTAATGAAACAAAGTAAAGGAAAATCAAACTGGGAAAATGGATTATAAAAAGAGTTCGAGACGGTGCGAGACGATAAGAGAGAGGGCAAGGCTCTCCGCCATCTTGTGAGGCGGGACTTTGACGTATAATGGCATTTCACTCTCTGCAGCGCCAGGGATGAGATAGGGGGAAGGGCAGGGAGGAAAGAGGAGGGAGGGGAGGAAAGAGAGGGAGGGAGGGAAAAGAGAGGGAGGGAGGAGGAGGAGGGAGGGAAGGGAGGAGGAGGGAGGAGGGAGGGGGAAGGAGGCAGGGAGAGGGAGGAGAAGAGGAAAGAGGAGGAGGAGAAGGAGGAGGAGGAGGAGGAGGAGGACGGGAAGGAGGAGGGAGGAGGGGAGGAGGAGGAAGGAGGATGAGGAGGAGGAGGAGGGAAGGGCAGGGAGGAGGGGAAAGAGGAGGAAGGTAGGAAGGAGGGAAGACGAGGGAGGAGGGAGAAAGAGGAGGTAAGAATGAAAAGGAGAAGAGAAAAAAAGAAAGAAGGAGAGAGAGAGAGAAGAGAGAGAGAGAGAGAGAGAGAGAGAGAGAGAGAGAGAGAGAGAGAGAGAGAGAGAGAGAAGGAGAGAGAAGAGAGAGGGTAGATAGAGTGTTCCCGACCCTTGGAGGAGGTCGTGACGCCGATGGAGGCCGGTCAAAGGTTACGGGTCACGAAAGGAGGAGGAGGAGGAGAGAAGGAGAGGAGAGAAGCAGAAAAGAAGAGGAGGAGGAGGAGGAGGAGGAGAGGAGGAGGAGGAGGAGGAGGAGGAGGAAAAGGAAGAGGAGGAGAGGAGGAGAAAAAAAAAGTGTAGAAGTATATGGACGGCAAAGGTAAAGGAGGGTTGGGGAGGGGGGGGCAGGGGTAGAAGGAGCACGGGCAGCATCTGGTAACGGGGAGGGGGGGAGCACACACACCAGCACCGGAACTCGTACTGGAAGTCTTCTGTACAGTCATGTTTCTGTCCGGCAACATGGCACTTTCCTCCACCACGCCTTTCCATGCAGACTAACATATGCACGCACGCACGCACGCACTCAAACTCATTCTCTCCCCCCCCCCCCCCCCTCTCTCTCTCTCTCTCTCTCTCTCTCTCTCTCTCTCTCTCTCTCTCTCTCTCTCTCTCTCTCTCTCTCTCTCTCTCTCTCTCTCTCTCTCTCTCTCTCAAGTTAATCTTAATCAAAATGGAAAACTTTGTAATCGCACATTCACGTTTCTTTCCATAACCCGAAAATAGAATAAAAACAATGAAACATACAAAATCAATCATGAAGATACATTTTCCCGTTTTTCTTTAATAAAAAAAAAACTTTCTCACCAGTGTCTCCCGTCATATAAGGAAATATCATTTTAATATCGTAAACCTTTTTTTTTCTTCCCCTTTCCGATTCAAAGTCACGAATCAAACCTCCGAACGCTTGGGTCATACAGCGGGAAAGGTCATAAATCATCCTATCTCGACAAGGGTCAATATAAAAAATATTCGATTAACAGCAGTGTCTTTTTAAATCATTGTTAAATAATACGAAGCAATCTGAATGCATTATTGTTTTTATGTATTGCCAGATGCAGAGAGAGAGAGACAAATGGTTGAAGCTTAAGTTTGATGGTGAATAATCATACTAACATCATGATGAATAATGATGAATAATGATGAATAATGATGATTGATGATGATCATTATTGATGATGATAATGATAATGATGAACAATAATGACTGATGAAGGATGATGACTATTAGCGATGCCGACTAATGACGATAATAGGTCAATCAACTTACCCTTGGGACATTGGCACTTATAGTTGAGTAAATCCTGGGGAATGCAAGTTCCACCATTCTGGCACGGCGAAGGTTCACAGGGTACGTAGTGGCTCTCACAGTTGACACCGGTGTAGCCCACCTCGCAGTTACACCTGGAATTAAATGCAAAGAAAATGTAACCACTCTTAGTATTTTTCATGTGTGAGTTATCGTTACGACCTAGCACATGCATCATTTTTTTTTCTTTTCTTCTTATTTTCGTTTTCTGCAATTCGCTCAACATTTGACCGTGATAAACGTTCCTTATTGAACCTGTCAATCTTCCTCCATTCTTAACTTGGAAAATTATCCCTACTAATTTCTTCTTCCTTTGCTTCACTCTTACTTACACAAACACCAATGAAGTCACCGCGGAGAGGAGGACGTCGAGCGCCCCGATAATCATGATGCCCTACAGATGAGACGGGAGGGAGGGGGGGGGGTCCACTCGCGAAGGAACCAAAGAATTTTCCCTTCACGATATCCTACGGGAGCTGGAATCGAACGAACTCTACCATGGCGACAGATTCTTCGGAATTTCTCCCCCGCCCCCTGAAATCTTAACCCTGAAATCGGGATTGCAGTTTTCCTCCCTCCCCCCTTACGGCCCTTGTTATATCGGGTGGTTTCACCTAAGGGCTCAGGGGGGAAAGGAACGGCCGATTCGTAGGGTACGACCTTTTTTCTCTCTCGCACTAAGGTCGTCGGTCAATGTACGACTTCCCTCCCTCTGTTAGACAGTTTCTATGAGGAACGAGGGGAAAAGGACAACTGATTTTCGGCGGTATGACTTTCTCTCTCTTTCTGTAGGGTCGTCTTTGTGTGGGATGTGTCAGGGCACACTGAACTACGGACACTGTCAGTGATGTAGGTGGTACTGGCAGCAGTGGCGTTGCAGGTGGGTGCCTGCTGACTCAGGAACGCCATTAAGCATCGCAGGATGGCCCATGATGCATATGCAACACCTCTGTAAGCACAACATCATGCAAACATACAGACACAAGCAAGTCACAGATACGTAGATTGACCACGATAAGGAATTTCTGTATTCCATTCCAGGCCTATATAAACACCAAACGAGAAGGGACCTGTGACCGCTTCTAAACGATGTATTTATTTTGTTCTTGCCGATTATGTTCTCAGCGACCGATGCCGCAGGAAACTCTAAGTGCTGACCGGAGTGCTGACGATGCTTCTGCCACACGAGGCCTGGCAAGCCCCTCCCTTTAACACCCTCTGAATACCATACCACCCAAAGATGCCCATGAATCATCGACCAAAAGCCCCCCCCACTCATTATAAACCGCGACAATAATAGCTTAGCTTCTGACGCCTAAAAAAAGAGAGAGAGGCCCTTTAAAACCTGCTGTGCTGTATGACTCTGCGAATGAGCTCCGTGTCACAGGATCCACGTTTTCTCGTCTCTCTTAATGAATGTGATAGGCTTGTGCTCTAAGGTTACGGGGGCGTGAGTGTATATGAATGAAGGAGACACGACCTTGTGGCTAAATTACGTTTCATCTCGTATGTTTATCGCGTGTAACGTTACCTCCCGATGAGTAATAAAGACTTGGCTTCTTTGAGAGGGTTATCAATAGAAGCTCATTCACGCCGTCCTCCTCCTCCTCCCCACCCTCGCCTTCTCGAGTCTTCGCCCGGGCGCCGAGCAATCGCCATTTCCTTTTCCTTTCTCTCTCCTTTTCCCTTTTTAATTTCCCATTTTTTTCTTGCCCGAGGCTCTTACTTCTCTAGTATGCAGATTGGATAGCATAAACCTATAAAAATCTTCAATTTCTCATTTTCTCGTTGTCTTTTCATATCTATTTTTTCTCTATTACCTCTCCGTGGTTCTTAGACGTTCTAGCATGCACAAAGAGGACAGCATCAATCCACAGTACTTACGTGTATGATCCGAAGGTGTTGGTGCAGGTGCCGTGGCGACATGGGCGGTCCCTGCATTCGTTCACGTCCGTTGTGCACGTGAGTCCGGTAAAGCCCTGCGGGCACGTGCAGACGTACGTGTTTCCCGGGGAGTGGCACGTGGCACCGTTGCGGCACGGCTTGGAGGCGCAGTGGTCCACCAGCTCGCACTGGTCGCCGCGGTAGCCGGAGGGGCACTGGCACACGTAGGTGTCGAGCGTCAGGAGCTGGCACGTGGCGCCGTTCATGCAGGGGTCAGAGTCGCACGCGTTCTCGACGGCGATCTCGCATAGGGAGGCCTTGTAGCCGACGGGGCACTCGCAGTTGAAGCGCGGCCCCGACACATCCAGGATCACGTTGCACGTGCCGCCGTTCTGGCAGCGCGGACCCGGTCCGTTGCGGCACGGGTTCAGGTGCTGGCAGTACTCGCCCACGAACTGGTCAGGACATCTGCGGGAGAAAGGGCGGGGTTAGTGTCGTGTTTCATCTACGAGTAATTTGAACTTTAAAATAAATAAGCTGCGTAAGACTACATAGCAAGACAGATCAGAGATAAATAGGAACAAAGAAACAGACAAACACACGCACACACTCAAACCACTCACACGCGCAACCAGCGATGTCAAGAGCGAATCAGCGACGAGGGCGCGAGCAGCGTGAGGTCAGCAACACAAAGCCCGCACAGGGAGGTGGGCGTTGCAACAAGCCTCCTTCTCACGCCCACTTGCACCTCCGCGCCAGCCGCCCGCTTGTGCACAAGACCTCCATTACGCTACCTACCAGCTGTCGCGGCCACCCACGGCCACAGCCGCCATCGATAAGCACCGGCCACCCACACGCCCATGCCCGGGACCAAGCACAGCGTACCCTCGCCGTGGCCATAGTGCACCGTAAAACGCGACGCCACACGATTGCACGCTCGGTGCTTTCAAATTGCACGCAAATACCTAATCACGCGCACTTCTCAGAGGAAAATTGTTACTGCAAAGGAAAAAAAGTTCGATTCGATTGCGCTGAGAGAGAGAGAGAGAGAGAGAGAGAGAGAGAGAGAGAGAGAGAGAGAGAGAGAGAGAGAGAGAGAGAGAGAGAGAGAGAGAGAGAGAGAGAGAGAGAGAGAGAGAGAGATAGAGATAGAGATAGAGATAGAGATAGAGAGAGATAGATAGATAGATAGATAGATAGAGAGAGAGAGAGAGAGAGAGAGAGAGAGAGAGAGAGAGAGAGAGAGAGAGAGAGAGGGGGGGGGGGGGGGTGAGTGTTGAGAAAAAGATGAGCGAGTGAGTGACTAAGCGTGTGTATATGTACGTGAGTGTATGAAAGCATTGACATGTACGTTTATATGTGCGTGTAATCGTGTACCAATGCGTTTCAAAGGGCATGTACGTGAGCATTTGCGTCCATGTGAAAGTGAGCGTCCGTGAGCATGTGCGTATGTACCTGCAAGACCATGTGTAAAACGAGCCGTATCAAGTACACAGATACACAAAGCGAGCGAGCGGGCGAGAGTAAGAGAACTTAGAACACAATGATTATTACCCCGGCATGTTCACTGCCCAAACCCTCCTCCCCTTCCCTCCCTCCCTTCCTACCCCTTTTTCCACCTTCTCTTTCACACTCACTCCCTCCCTCCCCTCCATACCCCCTTTCACCCTTCCCTCCCACTCTCTCTCCCTCCCCTCCTTACCCTCTTTCCACCTTCCCTCCCACTCTCTCCCTCCCTTCCTCCCTCCTTACCTCTTTTCCACCTTCCCTTTCACACTCTCTCCCTCCTCCCTCCCTCCTTAGCCCTTTTTCCACCTTCCCTCTCACTCTCTCTCCTTCCCTCCTACCCTCCCTCCCTCCCTCCTTAGCCCTTTTCCACCTTCACTCACACTCTCTCTTCCTCCCTCCCTCCCTCCCTCCTTAGCCCCTTTCCACCTTCCTTCCTTCCTACTCTCCCTCCCACCCTCCAACCTTCCCTCCCCCTTCCCCTCTCGTTATGCATGGGCGACTTGGCATAAAGTCGAGTGAGGGGGAGGAAGGGAAGGAGGAAGGGAGGAGGGAGGGAGGGAGGGATCGCGGTGGCTTCTGCGGTGTTACTGAACGATAATAAAAAAGGACATGATGAATAAAGAAGAAAAAAAATCAATTGCCCTCACTCCACATACAGATGTCTACGCCGCCTGCTGGGAGTCGCGGGCAATCCCTCTCAATGAAGCGCCATTTGTCTCGAAAAAAAAGTTATTGTGGTCTCGCATAAGGTCCCGTATGTAAATCATCTACGGTAACGAGTGAGGGGATGAGGCTCTTTCAAGCATGAAATTTAATTTTTTAAAATAACTATTAAAAAAAAAAATAAAATACTAATCAGTACTAGTACTAGTAAGTAGTAGTAGTAGTATTAATATTAATACTAACAACAAACAAATGATAATGATAATAATAATCATAATAGTAAATAACATCAACAACAACAGAACAACAATAATGAAGCGATGAAAAATGCAATCAAATAAAGTTCCCACATACATCAACATACAAAAAGAAGAAAATCACACAAACGATCAAAAACTAAAAATAAATAAATAAATAAATAAATATAAAAATAAATAAATAAATAAAAAAAATAATAAATAAAAAATAATAAAAAAAAAACAAAACTGAGACAACAAAAACAAACGTAAACCGAAAAAAAAAGCACAGCAGGCCACAGTACAAGAATCGTATTCCTCGACTCTAGCTCGCGGTCGTTGGCTTACCTACTCTCCTCTCGTGCTCCCCTTTTCTCCTCCTCTTCCTCTCCTCCTCACCTCTCCTCTCTCTCTCCTCACGCTTCTTTCCTCTTGTCTCCGCTTTCCCTCTCTCTCCTCTTCCCCCTCTTTCTATCTCGTGTCTCTCTCCTCCGCTATTCCTCCTCCTCCCGCGGTTCTTATTCTCCTCTCGTCCTTCCCCCTTTTCTAATTTCAAATAGCAAACCCTCACGTATCTATCTCTTCTTTTACTTCTTTCTCTCCCCCACTCCTCTCTCCTCCTTCCTTTTCACTTCTATCCTCTCCCCTCTGCCCCTCTCCTCTTCCCTCTCCTTCCCCTGTCGAGTCCCTCCGCGGCGATAATTTAAACCACGGCGCAAACACGGATTTTGCGAGTGATAAAACCGCCCGTCGTGGCGGCAAGAACGACAGCCCCGAGGCGAGCGCGAGGAGCCGCGGCCTGAGAACGCTCCGGAGGCTTCCTTTTTCCCTCCCCCCCACCCCCACCCCCACCCCTCCCCCCACCCGTGCCCGCTTGCAGTGCGCATTAACCGTGCATCTGAATCGAACTTGCACGTCACACTCACCCACATGCACATGCGTACCAAAGCACATACACGCATTCTCCTACATGGTTATATGTGTACATATCTATGCATATATCCTACATACATACATAAAAATACACACATTCTCCTAAATGGTTATTTGTGTACATAAATATGCATCGTATACACACGCATGCCCACATGCATACATACATGGGCATGCACACACGCACGCACGCGCAACATATACACACGTACTGCGCGTATATATAATCAATATATATATATATATATATATATATATATATATATATATATATATATATATATATATATGTATATATATATATACATATATACATATACATATATATACAAATATACATATATATATATTATACATAATATACATATACATATATATCCAAATTTACATAATATATATATCCAATATATCATATATACAATATATATAATATAATATATATATATTATATATATATATATATATATATATATATATATATATAGATATACAATATATAATACATACACATACATACACACACACACACACACACACACACACACACACACACACACACACACACAACACATATAATTATATATAATATATATATATATATATATATATATATATATAAAATACAAGTATGATTCGCAACAGAAGGCACTTTGCTGGAGATTTTATCGCGCCCGAGAACACGAGCGCCCACGCCTACGCCCCGCCCCTCTCCCTCTCTCATCGCTCTCCCCCTGCCTCCAGAGGACGCCCACAAGAGCCGCCCTCGCCCGCACCGATAAGCCCCTCCGCTCCATTTACACTTGTGGCACGAGGATGCTCACGCCCGTATGTCACCTTGCCCGATACCCTCCGCCCGCACCCGCCCTGCACGCGAACACAGCCCTTGTGCGCGGGGGCCATAAGGGCGGGTTGGGCAGGCGCGCGCAGTCAAAAGAGTTAACGATGAAAGGTTCCCACGCTACTGATTGAGGGGAGGGGGGGGGGCTAGGGGAGGGACACGAGGCTACCTGACCGGGTGGCTGGGGGGGGGGGGGGGGAGAGGGAGATGAGAGGGCGAAGTGAGGAGGGGAGAGATGAGGGATACAGGAGAGGGAGAAAAGAGAAGAAGAAAGAGAAATTAATAAAGAAAAAAAGAGAGAAACGAAGAATGAGAAAAAATTTTTATTTTTTCAGAAAGAAAAAAAAGAGTCGGGAAAGTGAAAGAGCGAAAAGGAAAATAAAACGGGAAAGGGGAAGGGAGCGAGACACCCAAAGCGGTCGAAAAGCTACGAGGGCTGAGGGGAAGGGAAGGGAGAGGGGAGGGAAGGGAAGGGAGAGGGGAGGGAAGGGGAGGGAAAAAACAGTCCGCCAGATGATGCTGTTTTCAGATGATGTTGACAGTGCAGTGAATGTGTCATGAGGCCTGCTTTGGATATGATGGTGACAGGAGGAGCAGGGGAAGAGGAGGATCGAGGGAGGAGGGAGGAAGAGGAAAAGGAGAAGGAGACGGAAGAGGAAGAGAAGGGAGAGGAAGATGAGAAGGATGAATGTGATGATGATGATGATGAGGAGGAGGAGAAAAAACAAAAACACGAACCCATACACCACACCAAAACCCCGACGCAAATAAACAAAATAAACAAAGTAAACAAGCCGGACACACACGCAAACGAGAGATGAGAAGAGAGCAACGCGCCGCAGCTCCCCCCCCCCCCCCCCGCTCACCTCTTGGAAGGGCAGACCACAAACAGCGAACACCACACACACCCCGCATGCTAAGATGGGCGTGCGTGGCGTGCGGGCGTGCGATCGTGTCAACCCTCGGCAGCAGACGCGAATCGACAATGTGGTGCGCGGCCGACACCAAGCCACTCGCCACATGCAATGAGGCCTACCACATGGCCATGTTTGTGCGGGTGTGGCCACCACATACCGGCCGCCAGCGATGCATGTAGTTGATACTGAGGGGAAGGGGGGAGGGGAGAGAAAGAGAATGGAGAGAGGGGAGCGAAAGGAGAAGAAGGGGGAGTGAGAGGGGGGTCAGAAGAGGGAGATAGAAGGGGTAGAAGGGAGTGAGAAAAAAAGGGTAAAGGGGGAGAGGGAGGGAGAGGAGGGGGAGAGGGGAGGAGTGATGCTGCACAGATGGGGAGGTGACACAAGGCAAACGGGTTAATGAGACGTGTGTGGATGGGCGGGAATGGGCGGTGGGCGGGAAGTGGAGGAGGAGGAGGAGATAGAGAGGTTGTGAGCCAAAAGCGGGAAGAGAGGAGAGGATGGTAAAGAGAAAAGAAAGCAGAAAAAAATAGAAGGGTAGAAAGAAAGGTGAGAGAACTATCCGCAGAGGAAAAACAATTAAAAAGAAAGAAAAACAAAAGCGAAAATAACGAAACCAAAACATATAAGGCAAACGAACAGAGACAAACAAACAACCACAAACGAAGGAGGAGACACAAAGAAGGCCACAAC